AAAACAAACGCAGACAGCAGGGCCTCAGAAGTGCTGGTATGAAGAGGGCTGGAAACTAGTGTCTCCCCAACTGCTGAACTAGTTCAATGACTGGAAAAACAACATCAGGTGCTGTGTAAATAGCAAAACTTTTGGGAAGCACTAAATGCCCCTTTTTTGTGCAGAGGAGGTGGTAACACAAGAGGGATTTGGGAGAGCGGCTCCTGCCCCAGCCTGGCCCTCACAGAGCCAGGGCTGGGTAAGTGACACAGGGCAAGTACAGCTGCAGCTGGGAAACAAGACCCAGTGTAACCCATCTGTTTAATGTCTGTTCTCCCACAGACATGTGTGGAGGGGGTTTCCAAGCCAGCATCGAACCTGGAAGCCAGAACATTTCATGCCACAGCTACCCAGCTCATTTCTAGCCACCACTCCAAAACTGCATCACACCAGTCCAGCTTCACAGCCCAGTTCTCCCCACAAAGGTACAAACTGGGAGCACAAAGACCTGCAAGGACACGGACCTCATCTAGGCTGACCCAGCCTCTGGGAATAGTGTCCTGGGATAAAGAAGGGGCTGGGAAATCTTTAACTCACACTTTAGCCAAACAGCATGGCCACAAATCAGGCTTGCAGGGTCACTGTGTGAAGAGGTAGAAGTTTATTGGAATATAAACATTCAGATAACATGTAAGATAGAAAAAACCCAACAACAACATATACAGACACTTGTTGGAAGGAGACGTTGAGGTATTTATCCACCGCCTAGGCTATCACATTTCTTTTTTTTAGTTATTTATTTATTTTTTTTAAATAGGTAAGAAAACTAGTAGCAAGGCTGCTGCAGCTGTTTGGTGAAAACATCTTCTGATCTGAATCCGTTTGGAGCACACACACATGCGCGCAGCGGCCAAAAGGACTTGGTGTGACACGTTCACATTCAGTTTTGGAGCTGAGCAGGCACGCAGCCTCCCCCTTGCCTCTTCCCCCTTTCCCAGGTCACAATCTTTGTGCCTTCCCTGCATAAGCTGGGATCTGCTGGAAGAGGACAAGCAGGCTTGGTTTTGTGGGTCCCCCAAGCTGGGCTTCAAACCCAGCTGGCAAATCTCCCCCCAGACAGGAGCATCAAGGCTGCATGGAAGCAAGCTGGGGGCTTTTTTCTTTTGGCTGCTCGCCACAAAACCTTTGCTGGTCTGGAGTTGAAAGAGAATTAGCCACACTGCAAAGCGGAGCACTTCACACGAGGAACAGTCCTACCCGCAGTATCAAAACCCCTGAGTACTATACAATCGAACACGGTCAAGTGAAATGAAGCGGAACTGGGGAGAGGGAGGGATCCACCACCCTTGCTCAGCCTTCCCCAGCTCCCGGCTCCTCTGCCCCATCTCTGCTGCTGGTTTCCATAACCCTGTCCCCAAAGCCTGGCAGCTCAGTAGGAGATCTGGAGCTCAGCAAAACATGCATTAAGCCAACTGCCAGTATCAAAGCCAGGCTTAGGGAAAGGGTTACTCTTCACAGTCTGAATTGGCTGGTCCTTGTCGTCATGTACTGAGAAAGGACCAGTTTATTGTTGCAGCTTATTTTTACTGAGGTATCTGTTACACATCCCAACTTGATTCTTTCCCTGAATTGGATACAAAACAATCTGTTAGTCCCTGTCTATTTCCAGTCTAGTTGTGTAAAGCTTATAAACATTAATACTCTAGTAGTGTCAAAGCTGTTTAGCAGTTCAGTGATTCGAGTGCCTTTCTGTGCAAGAAAACACAATGTTAGCATGTGATACATAAGCAAAACCACCCATTACTAACCTCTGCTCCCCAGGACCAGAGAAGAAAGCATAAGGAAAAGCAAAAAGTCCCCCAGTCCCACTCATAGGAAACAGCCCCCACACCCACCCCCAAATAAAAAACACCCCACAAACAAAAAACCCCAACCAACCAAAAGAAAACAAAAAAGGATAAAAAACCCCAATCTGAATGAGCCTCAGAGTCTGGAAAATCCTCTCCAAGCCTGCAAGGATGAAATGCCATGGAGGCCTGCAGGATCTGCCAAGCAAACGCCCTGCAGCCAAAGAGCAGCTCGGCTTCCCTGTACCTGGCGGGTGGTCATTACTCCAGCTAAAAGCAGCCAGAGAGGGACCATCTCAGAGCAGCACCTATCTCAGGACATGTGCACTCTCAGCCACTTTCCTTCTTCCTCCCACCAAGTCCTCGTGGTGTCAGGTAGCAGGATAACTCAAGCCATAGTGTATAAAGTAACATATAGAGAGCATAGAGCCTCTTGCAACTAGGAGGTGCCGCCTGTGGTTTACACAAGCCTTAGCACAAGACCTCAGAGCTCTCAAGGACAGAGCAGCAGCCCAGCTGAGTAGTGCTGCAGGTTAAAAAGGAGAACCTGACATTTGAGAATTTAAAGGAAGGATTATTCATTTCGTTTTCTATGTACATTTTTAAGCCCAAGCCCTGGGACTGCTGATGGGGCTTTTCCTGTGGCGGTATCTGGTCTGATGTTTCTAAAAGCCATGCTCTTTTCAGCAGTATAAAATAAACAGCTTCTGGGAGCAAGGCATCCTGGGAGTGCAGGGAGCATGCCACAGCTAACCAGAGGTATTACAGGACAGCATCTCCCCTGAACCTGTAAAGTCTCACAGAGTACTAAGACGGGCTTAAGTTGCTCACAGTGCATTGCAGAAATGAGTGGGCAGGGAAGGGACAGACACTTCTGGGCTGAGCTCGGGCTCAGCAGTGCAGGCAGGCACAGCCTTAACAGCAACAGCGCCTCAAGCCTCCTGTCCTGCACAGAGCTAAATGCCCCCAGCAGCTGTGCTCGCCTGCAGGAGCAGATAAAAGGTGACCTTCTCTTCTCATACCGGTATGACACACAGCAACTCACCCACCACCCTCCAGGAAACTGATTTTTAGCAGGCTGAACCTCTGGAGTTATAACATGGTTTTCACTTAGGTCATAACAGATCTACTAGCTTGGGTGGTTGTTACACAGGCACCTATGTACAGGTGAAAAACTAGAATAACTTATTTTGGCACCTCTCACAAAGGCTACCCAACATGGCTTAGTCTTGTAGTGTAGATGGAATTAGCTGTGTCTGGGATAACGCAAAGTCCCAGCACAGCTGAGGAAGTGGTTGGGTGCAGCACCACAAGACCAAGCTGTGCTTCCAGGTGCCAGAAACCACATTCCTGTGAGAGGCCTGGCCAATCTGTAGTGTAAGCAGTGCTGTCATCTCCCAGCTGCACTAAGCAGCTTTGCTAAAGGTAAGCTTGGAGAAGTATTAGGGACTTTGGAGACACCCTTGTGTCCAACATGAAGGACAGATCTTCTAAGTCAGCAGTCACACTTGCCCTCTTTTCCTACTTCTACCTGTCCTCCTGTGTCATGCACATGTCCTGGGACAATGCTCTTCAGCTTATGTCCTGCTGGCCTAAAGGATGGGGAAGCCACTGCTGCTTCACTCAGCTTTTTTTTTTTTTTTCTTCCTTTCTGTCTTTGGTGATACAATTAAAATAAAATAAAAAAAACCAAACCACAATGTCAACAAAGCCACATATAAAAAACAAGTGATAAGATATGCCAATACTTCTTGAAGAGGTTAAAAACAACCAACCCAAAACAAACAAAAAAACCCAGCAACAAGTACGTATCTGAGGTATTTCATCTGCTCAAAAAAACCTGACTTGGGCCTGGAGGATGGGAAGGACGTCACCAGGGCAGGATGGATGGTGCTTGGACCACATCTCCAGGCAGGGGAAAGCACATGCAGGAAAGGCCAGCAGGCGGAGAGAGGGCAGAATGAGGCCACCTGAGCAGGAGCTGAGTTCATGGAGTCACTAAGTCAGCCTGGTTGGCTCCAGACACAGGAGAGCCACAGCCAGCCTTTGTTTGCTTGCAACTGGAGGTTTGAGGGGAAAGGGCAAGGAAGGGCTTGATTTCCTTTTTTCTCTGCTTCCACCCAGGAGAGCAAAAGGTCTCACTCAACTGAGAGCGCTTTCTTTTTGCTCACATACAATTTGAAGGGGACTGGGCATCTGTAGGCTTGTTCAGAGACCAATGAAGATACACATATGTCATGTTAACCGCAATACCTACACACAGCCCACAGCCCCACTGAATTAGATTTCAAATATCACCTTCTATTTTCTCAGCGCACGGATGTGGAGAGCTTCCAGGGGCTTCTGAAAGACATCTTATGAGAAGGAAGTTGCTCCAGGAAGCCTAGATCAACCTAAATGCCAGCCCTTTTGCGTCAAGAGGGCAGAGGAACAAAACACCAAGCCAAAATAAGTTCAGGCTGTCAGGGTAAATGTCAGTGGGATGAGTTCCTCAAAGGGAGAGAGACAAGGTCGAGGGCATTTAAAACTTGGCTGAAAGCCTGAAGAAGGCAACAGTAGGGAAGAGGCCAGCACCAGCCAGGAGAACGAAAGCAGCTGATCAAGAGGTTTCTAATGTGTCTATGGGTCAAATGTAGCAGTGAGAAAGCCCTTCCCCTCTTGCCAAGACCTCGGAGAGGGGCAAGGAAGCTCACAAGCCAAGAGCGTGTGTTCTAGGGGAGGACATACAAACACCAGACCACAACAGAGCCTGAAGAAGAAAAGCGAGGAAGCTTGCCTGCTCTGCAGCCACATGGCCTTCTGCAGCACAAGCCACAGGAGGACAGGGGCAAGGCACCCCGCCGGCTCTTAGGATTGTCAATACATGGGGTTGTTTTGTGGGAAGAGTCCTTGTGGCTACTGGTTCAAGGAGAACCAAGTTTCCCTGCCCCAACTCCAGCTCTTGCCACCTGCCTTGGTGACGTCTCAGCCATCTCTCAACCCGTGGCTCCTAGAGACGATCCCTGATTGAAAAACGCCAGGTGTGCCCCCCCCCCCTCCATGTCCCACCCAACAGGAACACAGCAAACCCTGGGAGGAGGAGGAAGAAAACAAAAAGCAAAAGGGAGGAAGAAAGGGGAGAACAAAGAAAAAGGCTGGACAAACAGACGATGAAGAAAAACTTGCTGGCATGGAAAGGTTTCAGCATCATCATCATCTTGCCATTGGCCAACCACAAAAGCAGGTTCCTTGAGATGAGGTAATCTGTGCGACTCCTTCCTGGCTCGCTCCCTGCTGAGAGCAGAGAGGAAGAGCTGCCGGAGGCCAGTGTGAGAGACAGCAGGCTTGGCCGTCCATCAGAGAGACCAGCTGGTGGAGGGCTCTGCACTGGGGGTTCCCCGGGATGAGGTAGGGCTGGGAGAGCAGTGGGAGCTGCTGCTGCTGCTGCAGGAACTTTGGGTGCTGGAGCCTGCAATGAGATGGACGACTGGCTTCTGGGCAAAGAGCACTCCTGCAAGGCAGAGAGAAGGTAAAGAGAAGGTTTACTGGGGTGGCATGGCTGAGGAGGATAGGGTACAGAGCAAAGGGCAGTCTATCCAACCCCAAAGATCTCATCCCAACAGAAAGAGGCTCAGTTCAAGACAAGCAGGCTTGGAGACAGATCAGAGGGTCAATGGTGACCAGGATATAAGAAGGGATCCCCCAGGACTTGTTCTGGTGGCCTCTGTCACAGGGATGTTGTGCTTACAGAAGACAAAGATCCCAAATGGCTTTAACGCTTTTGGGAGGAGAGAAGCACCTTTCATTGCACTGCAGTGCCAGGCCTCCCACTTGGGCTTTGTCGAAGGATGCATGTGTGTGACCTGCAGAAGTGAAACGGCTTGAGCAGAGTATAGGGAACAAAAATTCCTGCTTCCCAAAGATGCATGAGGAAAAGCTGAGTAAAGCCGCCCCTCAGCGGGAGAAGAGGGGATAATACTCCTTCCCACTAACACTTCCATAGAAGTCCCTTCCCTTAGATTTTAAAAGTACTAACAACCACCACCACTACAAAAGGAAAGGACATTAAACTTGACTGCTTAGGACCAAAAAAAAGAGAAAAGAAACCATCTCCTACTGAACTTTGTAAGCCAGACAGGTTGTGTGTGTTGTGCTTTGACAAAGACCAGCCCCTCGGAGCACACCACCGTCTCCATGTTCTACTCTGCACCACCAGCCTGGCTGTCTACCCATCCCCAGGAGCGGTTCTTTCTCACCAGCATAAATTGTGCCGTTAATCTCCACCGACATGTTAATACTCCCAATGCCGTTAGGTGACAAATTCAGTGCTGCTGCTGTTGCCGAGTCCGGTTTATCTTCTTTCAGGAAAGAAGAGATGCAGAGTTAGAGAGTAACTATCCTGTTTCCCGCGCTATCCAGAGATGATCAAAGGTGTACACAGCCCTCCTTTTGTCTCCTCTTTGGTGAGAAAATCCCCACGCAACGTCTGCTTCCGGTCCTATTATAAGTCTACAAAGGTGTTTACATGCTTCGGTGTGAACTGAGTATGGGCTGGGATCCCACCGGCATTTGCAAGTATCTCCCCAACTTGCACACTGGAGGGTCAAATTAACATCGCCTCCAAGGAAAAAGCTGCCAGCACGTGAGACGACCATATATAAATTGGCTGGATTGTGGCTGTGCTTGCAGCAGACTTGGAGCACATGCAGAGTCCTCTCCCCTTTTGCTGAGAGGTGGCAGTTTCTGGAGGAGCTGGTGCAACTCCCCGTGCAGGGCTCAGACTGCAGCAGCTCCAGCGGCCGCTGGAGGGAGAGGACTACCCACAGCACCGAGGACTCAAATGCAGGAACACTACGCTTGGCTGCCCCTACAGCGCATGTGAAATCTGTTTTTTTTCTGTGTCCTCAGCCTGGAGGGTCCTTTCTGAGCCGTGAAGGGCAGCTCTGAAAGTGCCAGTGCAGCGCAGGGGTTCAATTTGCACTGATGTTTAAGGGGAGCTGAACATCAAACTCTCCCAGACACTTCTGAACCTCCCAACTTAAGCAACCCCTAACTGTGAGCCTGGGTTGTAGGATTGCTTCTCTGTGCTCATGAATGCGTGCTTACAGTTTGCACAACTGTATCATGGTTACCGGCCCATCCGATGTTGGTTTTGGGGCATTGAGCTATTAAAACAGAGAGAGATTTTGCAGTCTGCTCAGGCTCTGACATTGCAGATAAAATGCATGTTTTTAGCTCCTTTCAAGTCTGCTGGGACAGCCAAGTCCACTGTCCCTGTAAGGAATGCTAAAGACATTGTTAACATTTAACCTAAATGTTGCTATCAAGCTATGATAAGCTCATGTGGTGCTTTTCAAAAGACCTCTCAGAGCACTTCACAAAGCACAATATTATTTTTATTTTGCAATTGGGAAAATTAGGACATGAAAGACAGGACAGACTTGTCCACAGTCAACTAACAAAGGTGGAAATACTATAATTGAATTTTCAGGGCTCAGCCCTCAGCCTGTTACTATTTGTAGAGACTAAAATTGTTCCTAGCATTTTGATTTAGGAAGTTCAGGGTGTAAAGAAAAAAATAAAGTGAGATGAGAGGGAATGAACATTACTTGATAAAATTTGTATTCCCTTTTACTCACTGTTTTTGTTTTTATGTAAACGTGAAATTTAGGCAGATGCATAGCTGTCAGGAACTGTGATGCAAAATCCCAATCCCATTTAACTCCGCAGCAAGCTGCTACTGCTTCAAAGAGGAACCTGCTCTGACCCTTTGCCATACATATTTCTGGCAAAGCATCTCAATAAACCATTTACCAGCATTGCTACCAAAGGCCTCAAGAACAACTCTTCCCTTTCTTCTAAGCTGTGCCAAACTTGCCTGGCCTTGTGCCTACATCCAAATGTACAATTAATAGGGGGTCCGAGACCTTTAATTTTAATGGATCAAAAGGTTTGGAGGAAGCAGCTGTTGGGACTGAAATTTTCTGAGGCTCTGCTGTCCAGTGAAGTGCAGCCCCCAGGACAGGTAAGGGAGCCACGGCACTTAATCAGCTTTTGAAGCCACTATATAACAGTATTGGTTCTGACAACGTGACCTTTACAGGGTGACTCCCCTTTTACAAAGCATTTCAGGAGTGCATTTCCCAGGCCATGAATGCTGCTTATACATGACCTTCTAACCCAGCCTTGCCAGGAGTTCTTTGCCTGGAGGCTGTGCATAGGGTTGCAGCAGATGTTGGTAGACATCACCTGACTTGCTAAAAGCCCTGGCATGTGCAGGGCCCCCTGCAGATACACAGGTCTTTGTGGCCTCCTCATCACACCTGACAAAGGATTCCTAAAAGCTGGGCATCTCTCTCCCTGTCTCCTGCAGTCTGCTACCCATATGGAAAAAGCTGTTACCTCTACAATCAAGTAAAAGGGTTCGTGACCAGGAAAGGACAGAAAATCATTTTCTGCAGCACAATGCTGGCATGAGGCTCAGATGAGAGCAGGGCAGGGGAAAGCTGAGCATCTGGCACATGACGGGCTTCCCCTCCAGAAGTCATCTTACTGACTGTAGAATCTCAGGACTGCCTTTGGCTAGGCTAAACCATGCTCTTAGATCTGAAGTTTATACCAGGTATTAAACATGAGGGGGTCAGATACGTGGCCCAAAGCAACTTCAGCCAACCCATATACCTCCCACAAAGCTTCCTTCTTGCATACTTACAGCATGCAACAGAGCACTGCTGTAAGGACAACTGAGCTAGCATCAACTGAAACTGGTAATTCCCCACAGTGCAAGTTCTGTGGTGACATAACAGCTTGAGTCCTGAAGCAATCTCACTGTGATCAACACAGGAGGACATAAGCTCAGAGTGAGGGTCATCTTGTATGGGTCAAGTGGGTTTTATCAACTTAGATGCAGAGCCTTCTGAACACAGCTAGGGTGCTTCTGAAGCCAGGCTAGATTCAGACAATGCTGGATTATGCGTCAACAAGAATAGAAGAAAACAGCCACAGTGAGTAAAACCTAACAAAGCATTGCTACAGTTTAGCTTTGCTAAACTTGTGCTCCATTTTGTGCTCCATTTTAACAGCTTCTTGACAGTGACCTCTGCCTGGCACCCAGAGAGATAATCAAGCCTGTGTAAAGAGGTGTTTGACATTCTAGATTGGGAGCAGTTTGCTCCCTGCTGCAGTCTGCAAAGACCTTTTGTGTATCTAGAAGTGCTGCTTACCCTTGCCATTGATTTTGATCTTCATGGGGATCTGCCGTGCCATGCTGAACAGGTTGCGCTGAAGAGCCTGCTGGACAAGCCGCTGCTCCTCCTCTGTCATCCGCGAGACCTTCTTCTCTGGAGGCTCTCCTGACTCCAGTCTCTCCCTCAGCTGCTCTAGGGTGGCTGTTCTTGCTGCTGCAGTTGTGGGCTGGCTAGCCAAGGTCACTGGCACAGCAATACGATTTGGCATAGACACAGTCAAGGGCACACCGTCACCTAGAAAAGGAAAGGGTCACTAGTCCCTCCCACAGCCCCTTCTAAAGCGAGCATGCAAAGGTTTAAACTGCAGGCAGAATATTCTGCAAACCCTGAACCACCCAAGTCACACTACTCTCAAATCCAAAGTAGTCTGGGTGGACAAGATTGAAAATAACTGTGTTTCAGTGCCTGCACCTCTTAACCCAGCCACCCTCTTTGCTGCGAGTAAAAAGTAGCTGACCTTTTCTGACAGCTGCTGCTGGAGACACCCGAGGATTGCTGGTCCCACTGCCTGGCGCAACACCGATGATGGGGAAGCGGATCTTTGGGGGCGACAGGAGGGAAGGAGGCCCTGTGGTGGTGGGCGAGTAGCTGAACAAAGAGGAGCTGTAGCTGGGCCGCCTGCCTTCCCGCCTGTTGCCATCGATTGCAGCCTGAAGCTCAGCAGGAGAACTGAGGGATTTCTTCTCACATTCGTAGGCATATAGGTACTTCATATACCTGGGAAAGAGGTGAGCACAGGGAAACTCAAATAGGTTTCTCAACAGAACATGACATTATAGGCTACAGCAACAAGCACTGCATTCAGGAAGACGTTCAGACTGAGGTCCTCTGCAGATCTGGAGTCTTTGCATATCATGACCCCTGCTGCACTTGGTTTGATAAGCATTGAGCAATTTGGGTGTGAGGCACAGCTCTCAAACTTTGAGTTTACTCAGTGTTTATAGGGAAGCACATAGTTACATACTACCACACCCACAAGGGCAGAAAAGAATCATTCAGAATTCCTTTACAACTGAGATACCATCTAAAATTATAAGAATTAAGATCTTGGACCGTAACACTTAATGCAAGGAAGGAAGTTTGAGGAATCACCTTTGTCCAAGTCATTTGTATGGGGCAGCACCAACCCTTACCGCTTCTGCTCAATTCTGGCATGCATGTTTGCAAGAGACAGCCTTTTTGTACCAAAGGCTGTAGAAATGGCAAGGAGCTTCCCACTCTGGGACTCAGGGGTTCTAATAACTTCAAAAAAACCTGAGTCTGCATAAGAGCTGGGTGTGGATTCCTAGAGCCCACCCTTCCATGCTCGAGTCACTAAAGCACAGCTTCGCCCTGTTGCTTAAATTTTACAGTAGAATTACTTTCACCATTCTTTTTCCCCTGCTTATTCTACTTTTTTTCCCCGTTTTTCTTTTTTCTTGCATAATCAGTGTGAGGTACTTCAGGTCAGAAAAGCAATCCTCACAGTAAGTAGGTACTAAAGGCAAGTTTCCACAACTTAGTGGTGATAACAGACATTAAATGATCAAGTTTATGCTTGATGCCTACAAATCAGGAGGTCTCCCTCCCTCCTTGCTGTGCCAAGTGCTCCTCAGAGACAGAGCAAGACCCTCCTTACCCCGAGGACTTTAAGCTCTGAAGAGGCAAGAAAGGAACAGGATGGAGGGAGGCGCAGCACACAGTGAACAAGGTGATGGCATATTAGTGCTGGGATTGTAGGGGTGGAAGGGGAATGAGTTCACGAAGAATCACTGCTAAGAAAAACAAGAGGAGAAGGAACAGAAAAGAAAAACTACAAGCCTTGGGTGAGAGGGATAAATAAAGCAATTTATCAACTCCTTCCTGGCCACAGAATAGAATTTAGTCTTTCAATTTTTCCATCCCAGTCCCTGCTTTGCACTCCCCAGTCCCCACTCTGTGTTCACATCCATGCTGTTAGACCTTCTGGACTTACTGGGTTCGAAGTGTGAACGCGGCACTGGTGATGGAGGTGGGCAGATTAAGGCCTTTGGTAATCTCTCGCCAGATCTTCTTGTTGATGATTTCCACCAGCCCTCCTTTCTCTGTCACCAGCTTGTAGAGCATGTAGAGATCCAGGATCTGCTTTGCCATGATGGGGATCCGATTGATGGGAGTTCCTGCAGGGAAACAGCAGGGAAGGAAACATGGAGTCAGAGAGAAAATGAGGCCAAGAAAACCGGCAGGTTAGGGCTATCGATCTTCTTTCTAATCGGAAATTCAGGCAACTCTATTTGTAGCCTGACTTGAGGCCTCTTGATGGGTGAGTAAATGAGCCAGAGAAGTGTAGCTACACGGCATGTCCTTTTCATGAAAAATCCTTTCCTGTAGGCAAGAGCAATTATCAAATAATAACCTGCAGCTAAGAGCAACTTCTAAAATAGAAAGAAGGGAAGTAGGGACTCTTCAATCCTAGGGGAGAGGGAGCAGCACAGAGGAATCATTTTTTATGAGCTCCCAGGGCAATCTCAGATAAAAATCTGTATTGCTTGTGCTCAGGAAGGGGCTGAGCAGCCAGGCAACTCGAGCTACTTGTACATTGGGATTCGGCTCCCTCAATCCCCAGGATTTGCTATCCTGTATTGCTTGGGAACAGCAACAGAAAAGGGTGCGTGACACTCGAGAGCATCTCCCTCCCCCATATACATTTACCTCTGTCCTCCCTCACAAGCACATGCATAATGTTTTGCTACAGCTTCTGCTCTCACAAAGCATTTTCACCCTCCTATTCCTTTCCCCTGAACATGCTCCCAAATGACACACCAATGAAGCCACATGTGTACCGTGGTAGGAACTGCAACCCAGCTGCTGGAGCAGTGACTTCTTGTGAGAAAGCTAGAGAAATCATGTTAATGGTGGAGGTGAACAAGCAGTGTAACAGGGCATCAGCATGCCTGATTGCAGACACCACAAAGCCAGGCATCCTCACGGCTGCTGTGAAGCACCAGGCATCCTAGCGCTTTTTGGAACCCAAAACAAGGTCCTGCTCTATCCTTGCAAGGAGAGACAGGGCAGACAGGGAAACAGCTCTATCCTTCCTGTTCAGTTTTGTCATGTTGTGGGTTAACACAGGTAAGAAAATCTGATTTTAAACCTGATACTGCCCTTTTAGCAGCACCTTAAAGTGATAAAGTGTGCAGGGTTTGAAAAGGTCAAACTAATGAGATTTAGGCAAGGAAAGGAAGAGGGGGAAAAATGCTGATGTAGCAAACCTTTTATTTTGCATAGGAAATACTGTCCTGGATCAAAGAGCCGTCCATCTGAGGTCAGTATCCTGTCTACCACAATGGTCAGCACCAGCCTTTACAGGAAAGCCTGCGAAGCGCTGTAATGGACAATTATGGAACACCCAACCCACAGGGGAGACTTCTGCCACTGCTCATCAGCCAGCGATTCGGTTAATGCCCCGAAGCAGAGCAGTTTATGGCCCTTATAAATGGGTTTTATTCTGTTTAGTGAAAAGGAGTTCAGCTCAGCTCCGCAGATGTCCTCATTATACATGTAAGTGTAATTTTTTTTTTCCTCTTTTCTTTTTGAAGACTGTTATGCATTAGCTCATGGTACCAATTCCCACAGGTTAATGAGATGTTGGATAGAAAAAGTAAACTTGTTTGGCTTTGAAAGGGCTGCCTTCAGTTTCACCAAGTTACTAACTCTTAAACTGTAAGAAAACATAAAGAGCAACCTGATCAGGCTTGGTCTGCATGCTCTGTCATTTATATCTATCATATCCTCTTCTCCTTGCCTTGTCTAAACAACCCCTTCCCTGTCCACAACAGAAAAGTCCACAAAGCAGTAATTTCACTAACTGCATCAGATCCTCTTCCTGCATTTCAGAGACGACAGTTCCCTCAGGGAGCAGAGATAGAGACGTTTCCAAACAGTTTAAACACACTGTGGCTCCATCCATCCCAGCCAGCCGCCCCAAGCCAGGAGATGGTCCCTCCCAAAAAGGCCAGCCTGTCTAAATGCAATCCTTGGTTCTTCCTCAGCCACCATTTTGTCTCGGTGCGTTACTGCCAAGTTTAAGCGCACACTAACAGCATTATTTCAGACACACAGAGGGCTGGGAGTGATCATGTTACCAGCCTTAAGTTATCATTCATCAGCTGAGCCACAGTAACCAGAGTCACACCCAGCCCACTCCAAATGAAAAGCAGGGAAATACTTATCTCTCAGGACTCTAGGAAGAGCAAGGGCTGTTTTTTTCCACCCCAAAATGCCCCTTCACTAACAGTTCAGCATTTCTGCCCCAGCAACAAGGAAAGCCAGGGCATCCGAAGGGGCACTGTGCTGCCAGCAAAGCCTTTGCTCCACTGGGGCAGGATCATGACCCTCTCCCTGACTCCTCCAGCAACCCCATGCGGCCCAAACCCACCCACTTCTCCCCAATCCAATTTAGGGAATGGCATTAACTTGTCCAGAAGGGACTTTCATCCAGCTCTGCTTGGACAGTGACCAGATGGGGAGTGAAAGGGAAGGGTCATGGGTAAGGCTCCTCAGGCAAACAAGCCGCTAATACAGAAGCGTAAGGAAGTATGTACTCTTTAATATACTGCATTTATCCTAAACACAGTTTTACTCGTCTCTAGATTCTCCCATCTCAGCATTTGAAAAGGTATACAAGTGTATTTATCCAAATGCTCCTGTGAAAGGGATAAACATTATCTACATCAGTAAGAAATAAAGGCTTAAATATATTTCCAGAGAGCTGACTCATAGCTGGAGTAGAAACAGCAATCAGGTCTGACCTCCCCACCTCATGTTACTACCCCTTTGACACCATCCCTTCCTGAAGTTTGGTTTTTAAACCAGACCCACAGACCAAAGTACCCTGAAATTTAGTTAGTAGCTTTATAAACTAAGCTAAAACCTATAACTATTTTTTTTCCCCTGTGAAGTTTCATTATGCAGGCTGAGAAATTCTATAGCAGGGACAAAACTACTTCCATCCTTCTGCCACTTCAGCATGGAGATGCAATCATTTCCCTCCCATGCTTTCTCATAGTATGACTCAAAGTAGTATCTCCCAGAGCTAGCAAAGGGTGATTTGGGTTTTGGACCTGGTAAATTAACTGTATGTAATCTTCACCAAGCGAGCTGGGGCTCTGCATGTTTCATAGGATCTGACTGCAAAAGAGCTGAGAAGCACAGAAAGACTGCTCTCACAGCCCTCTCCTCCCCCAGCCCCTCTCTGAGGAAAGGCGAGGCGATAAAGTCTTTATTGGAAACCCCCAGCGCTCGAACAGGAAGGGCTGAAAAACGAGTATCATGGGACGATTGGATGCTGAAGCCGAGCGGATCCTTTCACAGGCGGCTGCAAGGCTTGTCAGGGGCCATGATGGATTACTGTCATCTGGCAGCATCAGGATTAATGATCCTGAGGTCAGAGGGGAGAATTCCAGAGGGAAAGGTCAGCAGCCAGGGGCACAGCATAAGACTTGTTGCCTTTTGATGGCAAACTCATTTTACTGTACTTTCAAGCCTCTCTATTCTGCCGGCTCTCAGAAGCGCTGTACACTGTGCTTGCAGAGGCAGAAGTCTTGCCTGACTCAAGAAGAGGGCAAGGAAGATTATTTGCTCCTCACCTAGTTTTCTTGGTAAATTACTTTTTT